TGTGTGTGTGTGTATACCATCTCTTTTTTATCCATTCATCAATCAATGGACACTTGGGCTGCTTATTATAAATAAGGCTGCTATAAACATAAGGGTGTATATATTCCTCTGGGTTAGTGTTTTGGTCTTTGGGTAAATAATACAAAGTGAGACTGCTGGATTGTAGGGTAGTTCTAGTTTTATCCATTTGAGGAAACTCCATACTGTTTTCCAGAGTGGCTGTACCAGTTTGCATTTCCACCAACAGTGAAAGAGGGTTTCTTTTTCTCCACATCCCTGACAAAACCTGTTGCTTCTTGTGTTTTTTATTTTAACCATTCTGACAAGTGTGAGGTGATATTTCATTGTAGTTTTGATTTGCATTTCCCTGATGATAACTGATGATGAACATCTTTTCATGTGCCTGTTGGCCATCTGTATGTTGTCTTTGGAGAGATATATATTCATGTCTTCTGCCCAATTTTAATTGAATTATTTGCTTTTGGGGTATTGAGTTGTATAAGTTCTTTATATATTTTGGATACTAACAAATAAGGCGATATTCTTGATCCACAGTCTGCCCCATCTGCTCTTTGAATGGATTTGGTTTTGTTTTTAGTGGAGAAAAGCAGAGACATTATTTTGTCTCTTCCTAACAGCTGTCACATATAAAAATATGGTAGGTATAACTTATATGTTATGGACTTTTATTCTTGAACTATTTGCTTTTATAAACAGAACTGAGACTAGGGTAAGAAAAGAAAGGCACCCAGGGCACAGAATTTAAGGAGATACTCACTTTTAGGGTCATACCAGTCCCAGCCCTGTTCATAAACATAAGGATCTATTTTCCAGAAGCAACACAGAGTATATCCATTTTGGGCCTTTGACAGAGGGTAAAATCTTTGTCATTTGATCTTTTACAAAGCTGTGCTAAAAGAATGAAGTATTATTCAAAGGATCTGTGATTCACCTACGCCTCTAGGTACTATAGATTCTATTCTTGGATCAAGTTATTCTCAGAAAAATATACAACTGAACTCTTTTTTACTTTATTGTTTTCATAATTATATTTTATTGAGTTGTCTTTTAATGGCATTCCCTTAGCTTTTATCAAAAAATAGTAATTTTTAAAAACCAAATCAAATCCATAACCATATTTACTGAAGAAACCTTGCTTAGGACATTTCCTCCAGAGTATTCTGTGCTTCTTGGATGGATTAGTTTAGAATTCAGTGCTAGGAAAAGTTATACCTCCCTTGAGGAATAGTTATGAATCATCTTGTGCTGGTTAATTTTTGGGGTCAACTTGACTGGGCCATAAGGTGGCCAGATGCTTGATCTTAAACATTA